TATATGTATGTATATGTATGATGAGGACATTATGCTGTACACCAAAAATTGACACAACATTGTAAACTGATTATACTTTAATAAAAAAAAATAAAAAAACAGAAGCAGCCCGGTGAACTCAGGTAACAAATTTATACTGTATATAGCACAGGGAACTATATTTGGTATCTTGTAGTGGCTTACAGTGAAAAAGAGTATGAAACAAATATGTGTACACTCATGTATGACTGAAGCGTTGTGCTGTACACCAGAACTCGACAAAACATTGTAAACTGACTATACATCAATTAAAAAAAACCAAAAAACAAAACCAGCAGATGCTCATTTCCAGCCCTGCACTGCCACCTGCTGGCCAAACAGGGTAAGTCGTCCAGAGCTAGGTTCCCAAGCTAGGCAGCACCCCCAGGCTGTGGACTCAGACCTTCCAAACTTCCCCTCTTGCACCCCAGCCCCCGTCCAGCCTCCCGTCCTCTCCCAGGTATGACTGATCCATCACAGCTCTCTTCCATGCTCTCACCATCGAATCCATCTCAGAAGGTATGGCTTTGTTGAAAAGTATCTGTTAAAATAACTCACATCAAGGCACTATAGTCGCTGCTGGCTCTAATTACTACCTATCCCTTCCCCTGGCCACTAGAGAAAAAAACGTTTTAAATTGGAATCTAAGTGCGGCCGTGTTTACCTCCAAAGAAGTGATTCTCTAATGGTGGAATTCCAGACTCTGTGAACAGGTGGAAGTCAGCAAGAGATCCTTCCGAGCATCCCTTAGTCTCTGACTCACCCTGAGTCTCAGAAGTCGAGATAATAGGGCACACCTGGAATCCATCATCTCAGAATGCCATAAAGCCATAGAACATCAGACTCGGCAAGGCCCTCAGAGACCTGGTCACTGTGCAGATAAATCTGAGAAGTGATTTGCCCACATACAATAGTCTAGAAGCAGAACCTCCTCCCAAAAGGCTGAGGTTTAGGTAACTTCCTGGGTGACAGATGTGCTCAGAATTTAAGGGGGAATGTGAGGTTCAACACACAGGGCCCAATCTTACCCCTAAAATTACCCCCATTCCCCCTCGAATACGATTCAAGGGCTGGACGGGAGGCTGACGTGGGCACTCCCCCCACCCCACCCCAGCTTAGCACCTGCTGTCCCCACGAGTCTGTTCTGCAGGGTCCAGCTCACAGCTCTTCTCCAAGAGGGGCCTGAGGGCAATTCCGACTTATTCTCCATCTCTTTACAGATTATTCCTTCAAAATTTTTTTCCCTCCCAATTCATTAGTTCTTTGCAGATGTGCCTAATTTGATGTTTAAGCCATTTGTGACTTTTAAAATAAACTAATAATTGTATTTTCATTTTAAGATGTGGTATTTAGTTGTTAAATCTGTTTGGTCATTTTTGATCTGTGTTCGCTGCGTGTGTTTTCAGTTTTCCCTTTCATTTCTGTAAACATTTAAAAGACTTTCTACTGTCCCTGCTAATTCCGCTAGCTGCCACTTTGGTGGCCTAATGCTGACACTTGCTCGTGACGGAGTCCTGCATGTCTTGGCTCCATTTTCACCGTGAGTTCACAGTGGGCTGACCTTGTCTGTGGAATCCCGAGTCCTGGGTTGACGGTCAGTCCTCGGGAAGCCTTGGGTTTGTTTCTACCAGGGGCCCCCGGAGTGCAGCCTCCTTGGAGGCATACTACAAGAATTCTCAGCTCAGACAGACTTTGGGGAGTGTAAACTCAGACCCCAAATCCATGTGAGGACAAGTGTCTGTCTTTCAGTTTTCTCAGGGCTGGTGGGAGTGGGTGAGAGCTTTCTCCTCTCTCCTCCTCCCCTCCCTCCTTCTCCCCCATTTCTGTCTGCTTCACACAAAGCTGGGGACAGGACTAGTGTTCTTGCCGGCCCCTTCCTACCCCACCTTTCACTGGGGGCGCAGCTCTCCAGGAATTCTAGCTTTCCTAGGGGGGGCGGTGGTCTCAGTCCTGACCCTCCACCTTGCCTACACGCGCCCGTGGCCTGGCCTTCCCTCCTATATGGCTGTGGGTTTCGGGCATTTCCAGATGCTTCCAGGACAGCCCACAGCAGCACGGATGCTTGTCTCTGTGCCTTCAGCCCCTCTTGACTTTTGGTCCCCGTGGGTTCCCTCCTTTCTTACGGGGTCAGTTTTCTCATGTACAAAATGGGAACATCGAAGCCTCTCCCTCTGAGGGTGGGGAGGGCGTTAAACGGGCCAACAGCAGAGCACAGCACAGGAGCTGTCTGGGCTGAGCGTGCACCCAGGCAGGCTGCCTCCCGTGAAGGTCCAGACAGTAAACATTCTAGGCTTTGAGGGGCCGACAGTCCCCGTCACAACTACCGCCCTCTGCCGTTGGAGGGCAAAGGCCGCTTCTGCAGTAGGCAGTCCAGGCTCTCACCCCACTTCCTGAGACACAACTGTCACATAACACTGTTAGTTCTAGGTGTGCAGCATAATGCCTTGGTGGATGTGCATACTGTGAAGTGATCACCGCTGTAAGTTTCGTTAACCTTCATCACCACACAGTGACATTATTTTTCTTGTGATGAGAATTTTTAGCATCTATTAACAACTTCCAATCACAGGATAGAGTTAACTAGTCACCTTGCTGCACCTCACATCCCTAGGACTTGTTTATCTTGTAACTGGAAGTTTGTAACTTTCGACCATCTCCACCCATTTCTCCTACCCCCACCCTCACCTCTGGCAACCACCAAGCTGTTGTTTCTATGAGTTCGGTTAATTTTTTAGATTCCACATATAAGTGAGATCATAGGTATTTGTCTTTCTCTGTCTGACTTGTTTCACTTAGCATACTATTCTCCAGGTCCATCCATGTGCCTACAAATGGCAAATTTTCTTTCTTTCTTTTTAACAAGACTCTACTGTGTGTGTATGTATATTTTCTATAGTAACTTTGAATTTTTGAACCAGACAAGGACCTACTGTAAAGCACAGGACCATATTCAGTATCTTGTAATAGCCTACAATGAAAAAGAATAGGTATGTATGTATAACTGAATCACTATCCCGTGCACCAGAAATTAACACAACATTGTGAATTGACTATACTCAAAAAAAAAAAACAAAACAAAACCCTCAAACTGCCACGTTTCTGGATCAATTGAAGAGACCTGCTAAGTAGCAATAAAAACACTCTGCTTTCACTATATACAAATAAATAAGATGGAAAAAATGTACTAGTAAGTTAGTAAGATTTCTGTAATGTACATTTGTAAGATGCTCTCCTTAGAGACATAATTCTAGGACATTTCTATTTGCTCTATAAATAAAGCTATAAAACCAAATGAGAAAAAAATATTTTAAAATCCAAAAAATATCGCAGTGTTTCTGGGCTATTTTAGTGAAATTGTTAACAACTTCGCAAACACTGTAACCACATCACTTTTCCAATGAAATAAAATGGAAGCAACGAACTTGTAAGATTCACAGATAAACAAGCGAGTTATAAAACATTATCCTAGGTGGTGAGGAGGGTATAGCTCAGTGGCAGAGTGGGTGTTTAGCATGCACGAAGTCCTGGGTTCAATCCCCAGTACTTCCATTATAAATAAACCTGATTACCTTCCCCTCCAATAATAAAGTATGAGAACTGAGGAAAAAACCCCCATTATCCTATAAATTATGTTATCACAGTTCCATTTAAGCCAATGTAGCATCACTTAACGAGTAACAACAAAACTGAAAAAAGAAAAAAGTCAGAATTACTTTAGCGGAAAGAGAAAACAGTCTTGCTGTGGTTCTGGGTCTTCAGAAGTGGGCGCGTATCTCGAAGCTGGGAGGTGACCCAGTCTCGTTTCCCGGCTATGCGGACAGAGCACCGACTCGGGTGCTCAGGGCAGACACACCCTTGTTGTCGGGAGGAGGTGGTGGGCTGCGAAGACCCTCCGCGGAGAAGACTCCAGAGGTCCCCGTTTTCACGCGGTGCCCGGCATGTGCATCCTCGCGCCCCAGCCCTCCGCGCATCCTTGGTACCAGCACCCGGGCTGCTGCTGCACGAAGTACAACGCAGCCAGCCTTCCGCACGCGCAGACTCAGCCAAGCCCGGGGGGAACGTTCGAAAAAAGTCCAGAACGTAAAGCCGGCAACTATTTACATATTACCTCGTGCATGCAAACCTGTTTACCTGACACACCTTATTAGGCTATACCTAATTACAGGTAAGTATTAGAAGTGTGCAGG